CGCGTCGCACACCTGGAAATGGTGGGTGAGTCTCCCAACGGGAGGCTGCTACGTACACAAGGTCTCAAACTCGAGATCTTGCTTAAACTGAAACAAACCGCTTACCACTTGATTCAACCTCTCGTTGGTATTTAGTTTATACTTTTAAATTCCAGTTAATTTTAGCATAAAGTACCTCCTCCAGCAAAGCTAGATATCTAGCTTCATATAAATGCAGTGTTTTCTTCTCAGAAGGAACTAGTACCTGGGACGTAGATTACACCAGCCTAATATAAAAACTTCTAAGTCAGTCAATGCACGTGTTCTAAACCTGGAAAAGCACCAAAACCCTTGGGTTAGGTCTAAACTCCAAGGTTAAATCTCAAACCCAGGGTTAGGTTATTTCAATATAAATATATCATTGTTCTCAGACATAGGTACGCCTATCACCCCAATTACAGAGCAAAAATCTTCACCTATGCACCCAAATTACCTTTGCCAAAACCTTAACCAACTGTGTTTCAACAGAAGGTAAATTTCCACTTTCGTTCATCTGGCCCTTTTTTATGTTGATTGCTGGTCTTTCTTCAACAACAAAAGTTAATTTATTTCCTTGAAAATGATTCGTGTGTTTTTATGTGTTATTTACAGTGATTTTATGCATTGTATATGTTTGGTTTGATTAAGAAAATGTTTGGCATGGTAATTAAGACCCCACTAAATATATGTTTGTCCAGTATTTTTTCGATTTTCTTAATTTGTTTACGCGGGAAGGGCATGGAAAATGCACTCTTCAAACCGAAATATGGAATTTTTTTTACTCAAAATTTATTTAAATTAATTTTGGTTTTCTATGTTTTAAGGTGAATAAATATTTTTACCTCATTTTTTAACTTTATTGCTATATATACTTTAAATTTAGATTTTCACCATAATATATGCATAAATCATCAAAAATTTGGTCAAGTTAATACCCACTAACTTAAAAACCTTGATTTAAGATTAATATAAGAGGTTTAAACTTTTGTAATGCCAAACCGTTATAACCCACCGATATATAAAGAAAATGATATATGCATAAACAAAACTTGTAGTACTAAAATTCATGCTCCTTTTGTTCCAAAATATAACTGTGGTATTTTGACTTTCAGTTTATCCTAAATAAGTTTTTGTTTTTATATTTTAAAATAGACAAAATTTTTTCTTAATTTAACCATATTATTATTCATTTATTTGAATTATTTTCTTCAAAAATAATTATTTTCTTAATTTAACCATATATTTCTTTGTCAAAAATAAAAATGCAAGTGTGATCACACTTGTATATGCT